CTACTCATTACTTATTTCTAGAAATTCTTTCCGAATATTTTTTACGCTTCTTAACATATTCTCCAACCAGAGTCAACCAGAGTGAAATTTTTTAGCACACTTCGAAACCACTCAATACGACTTCGCTAACAGGATCAATAATGAAATGTCGTGATAAACCTTTTATGTTAATATCTCAACATTTAAATTAAAAACAGTGATATTTTACAGGATTTCAGTCAGGTGTGCAAAAATCGATACAATTGTACCTATTTTAGCATTATTTGGACGTCAAAAATACAATAGCAATGACATATTTTTAAATTATATCAAATTATTCTCACTTAAAAGTATTATAAGTTCTTAAACAAACAATATGAAATAAATCGTCATCCCCTACTGTCGTTACGAATAAATAAATTTGCCATAGTTTAAACTTAGTGTCTTATGCCGCTTCAAGTAATTCAGTATTCCGGATCAGATTAATAAATTCAGTAAAGATATTAATTGTTATTTCTGTAACAGTTCTATGAGAGAGATAATCTTTCAAATTTCAGGAATATTTCGGTACAGATATTCATATTGTTCTTAAATACTCAACAACGCCATGGCTTTACGTCAAGAAGTTATTGAAACGATTTTGGAGACATTGGGAATCACTTCAGTATTATTTTACACCATGGCTTTTACGTCAAGAAGTTATTGAAACAATTTTTGAGGCAGTGGGAATCACTTCAGTATTATTTTACACTCAATGCTTTCGAAGCTGATTCCCAAAAGTTAAGGCTCAATTCTATTATTTCAGCATATTCAAATCCTTTTTACAAACTGCAATTTTTGTTCTTACAACATGTACTAATAACACTGTGCAGCACTAAAATCTTGAACCAATCGAGACCCCCAAAATCTTGAAGCTTGTGATGGTGCAAGAAAATCCCTAGCTGGGTTTTGCATTATTAGCTAAGTTTTTTTTTTAAATTAATTTTTAAAATATTCGACTGGGGGTGGATTTTAGCACAATTTTCGAATAATACTATATCTATATCTCGTAAACTATTCGAAATATTGCTTTTCTCTCTTAAGCAATATTTTTCCTCTTAATTAGATCTAAAAATTTTCTTTTGAGATAAAATCAATAAAACAACACCATCATACTGAAAATAGCACAACTGCAAGAAAATTAAAATTTCGACTTACTTTTTCCATGTTTAATTTTTACTTCAATTTTGTACCTATTTATTGAAAAAAGCATAGCAATTTTTATTTCTATAAACATACAATTGGGAGTGAATTTCTTTGGTTCATTTTGATGAATTTGTGAGGCTATAACTATGTGAAGGAGTCAACCAATGAAATCGGGGTTTTAAGAAGAGTTGTTTGATTTGCTATTGGCTATCTTTTTGTCATATATTTTTTGTCCGAGTCAGTAGCAGTTTCTGAAATAAGTGTGAAAAACATGGAAAAAGTATGTCTAAATTTTAATTTTTTTTGCAGTTGTGCTATTTTCAGTATGATGTTGTTGTTTTATTGATTTTATCTCAAGAGAAAATTTGTAGACCTAATTAAGAGGAAAAATATTGCTTAAGAGAGAAAAGCAATATTTCGAATAGTTCACGAGATATAGACTCAATAATAAGTATGTATTATTCGAAAATTGTGCTAAAATCCGCCCCAGTCGAATATTTTAAAAATTAATTTAAAAGAAATCCTTAGCTAATAATGCAAAACCCAGCTAGGGATTTTCTTCCACCATCACAAGCTTCAAGATTTTGGGGGTCTCGATTGGTTCAAGATTTTAAAGTTGAAAAATGTGTCACTGTGTAATTATAAATAATAGAGTAACTTCTGGTAATGTGGACCATGCGTCAAATGTGGACCACACCCCATATCTAAGAAAATGCTTGAAATATGCCAATGCCGCCTTGATAAATGTTTTCGCAATTGGTGAAAACAAACATCAAACTTGGTTTTTAATAAATAATTGCAATGTTGAAAATTTAGTAGGTGAAAATGTAGCTCTGATTGTAAAAGTGTGATTTGAAAATTTTTTAGCACAATAGTCGAACGATTTTGTAAAATAGTCGAACATTTTGTTTTTCTCGAATATAAAGAGGTTATGTGGTTTTCTTGTTTTCTTTAACAAAAATACACGTTCATCTGTAATTACAATCGGTTATTTTTAAATTTTTATTCGTTTTTGAAGCCGATAATTATTTTTAAATAAAAATATTCATGTCGGGTAATGTGGACCACTATAAAAAAGTGGGACATTTTCATGAGGACGAGCTCGAAACAAGGACGCATTTAATATGCGAGGAGGTATTCTATCCTCTGAAAACTCGATATCCGAAATTATAGGTGCCTCGGTTGGATAATGAAGCAAGGACCTTCAAAATACCGCAAATGTGGTGGTACCCCTAAAAGGGGGCTATTCCAAAACATGGACCCATATATTTTTGCATTAATTGTTACCCAAGAGTGCAATAAATTGATATTTATCACAATTAATCCACAACCTACCTTTAACTTACTGATCCTCATTACCCACACATACTGGTCCACATTACCCGCCAAGTTATTTTTATTTGCAGTTTAGAGTTTTTTGAAATATAATGCAATAACATTTTTATGGACAAATATATATAATTTTTGACCTGGAATATAATTAGCCAACAAATCTACCATGTTGTGAAAACAATTTGTTTTTATTTTTTACCTTTGTTACGCCCACAATATAAAAAAAGGAAAATGGTGGTCCACATTACCCGAAGTTACTCTATAAATTTAGAAATTCAATCTGAAGATGTCATAAATCTTATTAAATCTTCCAAAAACAATATATGCACTTGTTGGTCAAAAATTAATTAAGGGGACTTCCCCCCCCCCCCTCCCGGGGTCAAAATTTTTTTATTTAATTCGATTCTACACTAATTCAAGAATGTCTCTGAAAAATTTTTAAGTGAAAATCTCAAGAACTCTTGAAGATATAGCCGATTTATTGTGTCAGCATCAAGTGACGGCTAAAGGGCTTCTCAAACTTTAAACGCGTTTTTCTCCTTTACGAATGGCGGGCACGATAATTCAAAAACTAATAACCCAATCGATTTCAAATTTTTACACGTTTCTCTGTGAGTGTACAGCTATCGTATGAACTAGGATAAAGCCAATCGGTGAAGATCTTCCTTATTTTTTATCTTGGTTTTTGGCCAAAAATCGTCGATTTTCCAATAATATTTTTTCAAAGGTCCGCCATTTTGTTAATTTTAGAGCGAAGTCAACTCTTTCTAACACCCTTGGAATTTTCGGATTCCGATGTTCCAGTGAGGAGTTATCATGCCCGCCATCAAAAATAATGACTTTTCTTTAATTACAAAAAACACTTTAATTACAAAAAACAAACACAACTAAGTTAAAATAAGAAAGATCTTGGCTTTATCCTAGTTCATACGAGAGCTACACACTGCCAGAGAAACGTGTCAAAATTTGGAACCGATTGGATTATTAGTTTTTGAGTTATCGTGCCCGCCATTCGTAAAACAATGTTTCGAGAAAAATGCGTTATAAGTTTGAGATTCACTCTTGCCGTCACTTGATGCTGACACAATAAATCGGCTATATCTTCAAGAGTTCTTGAGATTTTCACTTGAAATTTTGTAGGGACATTCTAAAATTGGAGTAGAATTAAATCAAAAAATTTGTTGACACCGAGAAAGGGGGGGGGGGGGGGGGGGGGTCCCCTTAATTGATCATTTTATATGTAAGACTTATAAGTACTTAGACAAATGAATTTTTATGTGCATTTTTGTTAATTTTTATGTGTTCACTTTATCTATGTGTATATAAAAATGAATTATTTATGTATGTTTTTATTAATTGTTAATAACAATACAAAATTTATTAAAAATATATATAAAAAGTACAATCGGACTGAAAAAATACACATTTTATTAAAAGCCAGTACAATTTGAATAATTTCATTTCGCATCCCTGATTCCAGTACAAATAGAATGCTGTAAAAAACAATTTTTTATGCACCACAACCAAGGAACGCTTTGCGAATTTATTTATTGTCTTTATAGCTTTTTTGACTTATAGGCGTATAAGTTACCTATTTTTTATACCCTACATCATAAGGATGGTATATTAAATTTGTCATTATGTTTGCAACACCTCGATATATTCACCGAAGACACCATCATATTTAGTATTTAGAACAGAAAATGTCACTATTTATAACACGGATGCTTTCAACCATGTTTCAGAGAATACTATAATAGCATTATTAAAATCAAGGCTTTCAGAGAATAATGAAGATAGATTGTATTTAAACCTTTTACATTCTGCAACAAATTTTCACATATTTCCAGAAATTCCTTAATAAATGCGTTAGCAGGCCAAAATTCCCTTGATATTAACCAATGAAACATATTTTTTACATTACCATTTTAAAAGATGATGTACTTTCTGTGAAGGCAGACCGAAGCTTATAAAAACGTAGAAAGAAATTTCCATATATTTATGACTTTATGAAATAATTTATATTATCAGGCGAGATATCTGATGCAAAGGTAGATACAAATACAATTTTCATAGTGGGAGCCATGTGAGGTTTTGAAGCCTTTTCCAGACTAGCACTACTAATAGAAACAGATATGGGATTATTCACTTTTTTGCATCCCTTATTGGCAGACGCTGATTGTTACACAGTATTTCCAAGAGAATACTATCTAATCAAACGATTAATACAGAAGTTATGACAAAATACTTTTTTATGTTCAAGCTTTCTTCACTCTGGGATTATACATGCAACTTTTGTAAGCAAATCTGCTGAGTTCTTAGAAGTGAGAGGTATAAAAAGTGACAAGGGGAAAGAAGAGAATCGTAGAGAGCAGCAGCAGAGTTTCTTAAAAAAGTTGCATGTATAAACCCAGACATAGTTAACGTACGTACTATTTGAATATATAAATATATAATTATATTACTGACAAATAACATTTATATCAATTTATTGTGTTGAAATTAGAGATATGAACCCAAATTGTCGTATATATGCACTGCCGAGTTTGTGTTATAGCAGTTTGCCATTATGTCGTACTCCAGAAAGAACTAATCTACTATACTTTGCAAATAAAGCTGCATATAAAGAACGAAAACTTAAAAAAAATTTGACGGCTGAATCTGCTGGTGGAGCTGAAAATAAATTAGTCCACAATATGCACAAGCGTTTTTTGGAAAAGAACTTAAATGACCGAAAGTTTGTTCTGAAAAGAAAGACTTCACAAGGATACGATGACGCGTTTACTATGGATATATCTAGTCAATATCCTCCAACAAAAGATACAGAAAATTTAAAGCGAATTTGTCGTGAAGAATGTGAGTTACTTGAGAATGAATTATGTCAAAGGGAATATGCAATAGCAAAGAGGCATCCAGTAATAGGACAAAAACTGCCACTTGAAGAATGTTCGCGTCTTCCTCGTCATACTGATTGCTCTCATCTTGGGATTGAAATAGACGTTGATATATCTCAAAACTGCTATTGGGATGATGGTTCAAGTTACAGAGGCATATTGGGTACATCATCTTCTGGTAAAAAATGTTTACGATGGTCGTGGCTTATGAAGGATCTTTCAGACTATCCTGAATTAGTTGGACAGAACTACTGCAGGTAAAATAATATCATATACTTTCTATTAAATCATGTATATAAAATTTTTGATTTTAGGAATCCGGGAGGCATTGAAGAAAAACCGTGGTGTTTTGTTGATGACAAATCATTTGATAAAGTTATTGAACTATGTAACATTCCGAGGTGTTCAGATAACATTTGGTTATATTTATTTATAATCATTGCTGTCCTGACGAGTATTATTTTAACATATACAGCTTTGATTGCTTTCAAAAGGAGAAGAAATAATGAAATGACAAGTATTCAAAATGTATTTGTTCTATAAACAATTTGGTAATAATGTAATTAAATTGCTAATATTTTGTTCTTACACAGATAAACACTCCAAATGCTGATAAAAACATATATGGAAACTCACAAATTAACCCCTCAGTAGAAGTGGCGCGTATTACCAGCGGTACTGGTTCCTTATCTATATTTGTCAATAATGCCGAAAAGGGGCCAGTTTTAAAAATTCCACATTACTCGCTAAACGACGTTGAGTTCGTAGAAGAATTAGGAGAAGGAGCATTTGGTAATATTTTCTACTAAATCTTATTTTTAAAATTAATTATATGCACATTTAATGCAGGTAAAGTATACAAAGGACAACTTGCTATAGCTGGTGGGGAAAAAACATTCGTGGCCATTAAAGCACTTAAAGAGGATGCTTCTTATAAAACACAGCAAGACTTTAAACGCGAGATAGAATTAATCTCCGATTTAAAACACCATAATATTGTTTGCATTCTTGGGGTCGTTTTAAACAAGGAACCTTTTTGCATGCTTTTTGAATACATGTCAAATGGAGATCTGCACGAATTTTTAATCGCAAACTCGCCACAAGAAAACAAATGTTTAACACAACATGATTTCTTAAAGATAGCTGTTCAAATAAGCGAAGGGATGGAATACCTTTCAGGACATCACTATGTTCATAGAGATTTGGCAGCACGTAACTGCTTAGTTGGCGAAAACCTAATGGTCAAAATATCGGATTTTGGTCTATCACGCGATATTTATAGTTCAGATTACTACAGGTAGTATAAATGGTCGTATGGTTACATATAATAAATATATCTTCTAACAGGGTTCAATCAAAATCCTTATTACCAGTACGTTGGATGCCCTCGGAATCTATATTGTATGGAAAATTTACAACAGAAAGCGATGTATGGTCATTTGGTGTCGTTTTGTGGGAAATATACAGTTACGGAATACAGGTAATGCCCATATATAACACATAGTTACTTATTTTAAATAATGTACTTTTAGCCATATTACGGACACAACAATCAGGAAGTAATAAATTTAGTAAGATCTAGACAACTGTTAAGTTGTCCGGAAGCATGCCCTTCTGCTGTTTACTCCTTAATGTTAGAATGTTGGCGTGAACAATCAGTAAGAAGACCGTCTTTTGTTGAAATAACGCGACGGTTAAAAACGTGGTATGAAGGACACCAAAACAACGTTAAAAATGTACCTACGGAAATTCTGAAAACGACAAAATAATTTATTTAATCTTGCTAATTTTGTATATATTTCTAATACGAAAATAAACAATTATTTTTGTGTGCACATATGATAAGTATTTTTTCATAAATAAAACATCACGTAGGTCATATTGTATTATGTTTGAAGTGGTTTGTTATTTCCTAATATAAGATACAGTGACGTACTTTTTATACCCTCCAGCATAGTATGGAGTGTTAAATCACTTTAATTTCATTAAATTCATTTATTTTTTTGACTCAGTCATTTAATTTTGTTTATAACATTTAGTTAATACCTTTGTTGACGTCCGCACGGCCATCAAGCAGTACGTGGGTACCACACTATTAACACCGATGACAACCTCATCGATTTGGAGCTTTAAGTCATCGGTGTACTCCCATCTCCGAAAAGGACCAAAATCGGGATCCTTCCATCTCCAACCACTTCTTGATCAAGCAGTGAACCCACCAGATCGTCCTGATCTAATATTTATAAAAACCCTAAATTAACTTAATAAATATACTGTCGCCTGGCAGTTCATCTTAAGGAAAAGTAAAAATTTAATTCTTTTAATTGTGCCTAAACATCACGTGAGTATAATACGTATACTTGTGGTGTTTGTATATTTGTATGTGTTGTAGTTGTTGCTTTTGCCGACAACTCATAAGCCAAAGGCTCTAAATTCGTCTGAATTTAGAATTAACAACAGATCCTACGTCCTTGTGGGAATCTGTACATGGTCCTTCGAGCCTTTTAAAACGAATTAGCGGCCTAGATTTGCCATTAAATACCACTTTTTTCAAAAATCTTCAAAAACCAATTTTTCCAACAAAATCCTTTTAATCCACATCAGTGTTGACATCTCCCTGCCGTCTGCTTATATTTCAGCCACAAACACGGCAAAGCCCAACACTGACAACAAGTGAATAAAACAAAAACAATTCTTCATTTGTTTTGCAAAGATAATTTATTTATTATCAAAATAAATCAATTACAAATATTTGAATAACAATAAAACACCAATTAAAACACTTCACTATTGTTAAATTTGTATTTAATTTTTATTATTTACAATATTCACAGACATATTGTTTTGTTTTGTTGCAATAGTGACATACGTTTAAAGAGTAACCGATACCGAGTACTCTTGTTCACATCAATACGATAGTCCAATTAGTGAACACGTAACATACGTAAACCAGCAAAACGTAACAAACATTACTAAACGTAACAAACGTAACGCACGTTAGTGGAAATTGCATTACATTATATTGCATTCCATTTCTATAATAAAAACAAATTAAAATAAAAATATTACCAATAAAATAAAAAGAAACACTAATAAATATAAATACAAATAATAACTAATAATAATATAATAAAATAATAACAAGATTGCTCTCAAAATTTAAAAAATAAATATTTGTTGAGCAAAACTCTATTAAAGCCTACATTTTTTGTTAAATTTTGACCCAAATAATATTACAATAAATAATAAAAGTCCATAAATATATATAAAAAATAAAAAAATATACAAATAATAGAACTCTAATTAAATAAATAAATTTGTGCAAGGTTCCACTTCGACATGGAGAACTTAATGGGAGCATGTGCTAAAATATTAGATATGTCCGAAAACGATCTGTCAGATTCGCTGATAGAAACAAAATTAGAATCATTAGATGAAGACTGGCATAATGTACGTACTGCATATGAAACTGCATATGGAAGTTGTGAAAAAAGGTCTCTTCAAAAGTCTACCAGTTCAGGACGAGAAGACCAAACAACTCCTTCACTTTTTCATAGTTCGGCCATGTATCCCCCAACTACCACATTTGACATGTCAGAAGTGTGTATTAAAGTCCCTCCATGTGATACAAAAGACTTCCACGGAAGCTATGAAGAATGGCCCACCTTTAGGGACATGTTTATGGCCATATATGGCAATCACCCCAGACTGGCACCAGCACAAAAATTATATCACCTAAAAAATAAAACTAAAGGTGAAGCTGGCAGAATCGTAGACAGATTCTCATTGTCAGATCTAAACTTTTCATTAGCATGGGACGCACTAAAGAAACGCTACGAAAACAAGCGAGTTTTGGTAGACAACCAATTGCGGATTTTATTCGAAATAGCGCCCGCAAAAAACGAGAATAACGCAGACATAAAAAGGATCCAATTAACAATCAGTGACTGTCTCGCAATTTTGAAAGCACACGGCATCAGTGTGGGCGAGTGGGATCCAATTTTAATATACCTTTGTTCGAAAAAACTTCCAATAGAAACGTTGACGTTATGGGAACAGTCACTTGAGTCACATGCGGACTTACCAAAATGGTCTCAAATGGAAGAATTTTTGATCAACAGACAACAAGTGTTAGAACGAATTAGTCGTATAAAAAAACAGAACGCTCCACAATCTTCACGATACAACTTCGGAGCTCAAAATAATCCAAACACAAATTCAAATAGATGTATTCTATGCGCAAAAAATCATATACTGCGAAACTGTCCCAGATTTAACAACATGTCAGCTAATCAGCGAATCGAAGCTGCAAAAGAAAAACGTTTATGCAACAATTGTCTTGCGAGTGGACACACGAGCCAAGAATGCATCAGTATGCACAGATGTATGCAATGTAAGAAAAAACATCATACTAAGTTGCATATTACGAACTATTCACAACAACAATCGAGCGCTAATAACGTAGCACGTGAAAACAATTATGGTCATGCCCGAACCGAAACACATTTCACCACTGACGAATCACACAATGAATTGCCATGCTCGTCAAGGACAGTGTCTGGTACAAACGTTCAGACACTAGCTACAATTAGTCACGGTGACGTTATGTTACCGACGGCCTTGGTACAAATTATGCACTCTGAACTAAGGTTCACATTACGGGCGTTGTTAGATTCGGCGTCTAAAAGATCATTTGTGACAGATAAAGTGGTTAATCGCTTAGGTATTACGACCAGAAAAGAAGATTTCCAAATTAGTGGTTTAAGTGACACAATAGTCACCAATGCAAACCAATCTTGTTGCATTACACTATGTACAGATGACACTTCTTTTAATCTAGTATCCGAAGTAATAGTGCTACGAAATCTTATTAGTCTACTTCCAACTAGGTCTCTTCCAAACTCGTACTGTAGTGAAGTTAAAGATTTAAAACTAGCCGATCCTGGTTTTGCGGTATCAGCGCATGTAGATATGTTTATTGGAAGCGATATCCTTCCAACAATAATGCTAAACGGCATGAAGAAAAATATTCTAGGTAATATGATAGCACAGAATTCAATTTACGGTTGGTATATATACGGACCAATAGCATACGAAAGTATAGCATTTGCCACAGTCAAAGAATCTTCGAAAGGTGAAGAAGACATAGAAGCATTATCACGAAAATTCGGGGAACAAGAGGAAGTCGAACGGGCTCCTATTCCCACCGTATTAAATGAGTACTGCGAAGACTTTTACAAAAAGACGTGCCGTCGACCGGGCGGTAGATTTGGTGTAAACAAGTCATTTAAAAAAGAATATCGGCAATCTATTTCATTAGAATCACCTCGTTTCAAATTCTTACATCAATATATAAATATATTAAATAAAGAAAAAATGCAGGTAAATACGTACAGAGACGTTTTAAATGAATATTCATCACGTGTGTTTAATGGGTCATGCAAAACAAATAGTTCATTTTCATTGAATGATATTCTATGTACAGGCCCAACATTACAAAACGATTTAACGTCTGTAATTTTAAATTGGCGGTTATATAAATATGTATTTAATGGTGACATTGAGAAGATGTACCGTCAAATATTTTTACACGAGTCTGATATACCGTATCAGAGAATATTGTTTCGACGAAATGAAACCGCCCAAATCAAAGATTACAAAATAAACACTGTCACATTTGGTATTAACTGTGCGCCATTCCTGGCAATAAGAACGTTATTGCAGCTGATCACAGAATGGCAAATTGAGCGGCCGCTAGCTACAAATATACTTAAAAAAGAAATATATGTAGACGACATAATAGCAGGCGGTCAAACGATTGATTCCGCGCTGCAGGCACAAAACGGTGGAGCAAAAACGTTGAAATCGTCCGGATTTCTGTTTAAGAAAATACGAATTCCCCAGACACCTTTCCTCAAGAATTATTAAACGATGAATTGATTAAAATCGATGATAGTAGCGCTATCAAAACTCTGGGCATTCCATGGAATGTACTTAGGCACAAATTCTCGTATACAACGACTCCATACTCTATTGCAAGAGAAATAACGAAACGAAAATTTCGGTTGAACGTGGCTAAATTATACGATAATCACGACCAACAATCGTAAAAGCCAAGATATTTATACCAGATATATGGCTAAAAGGAGTTAATTGGATGATTAAAGTCTCATCCACCCTGTCGTACATGTGTTATGGAAAGAAAAATCACTATTTAATAACGGACCACTTGTATGGTCAGGATTTTCTGTGTTTTGTTCTATATATTTCTTTCCAGAACATAAACATAGATCCTGAGCAATGTCTGGTGTGTTATAGGCAGCATAAGCCTATAGCCTACAGAATGGAGCCAAAAGACAGGAAGTATGCTGCGCGGGTACACAAATACTGCATAAGCTGTCTATCTAAAGAGCATTTTGTGCCAAACTGCAATGCATCTGGGAATTGCAGAATGCGTATGCAGAGACATCATACCCCATTGCACCCAATCAATCAGCGGAAATTTGATAACTGGCCTCCTGAAAACAATCCACCTCATCGGTCAAACAACTCTCATGGATACAACAACAAAGTTCCCCGAGTTGGAGACAACAAAGAAGATCCTCCAAGAAATTTCGGAGCAAATAAAGGTCCTGGGATCGCCAGAAGGTTGCACCAGTGCAAGGGGCGGAGGATTTTGACGTCCGCACGGCCATCAAGCAGTACGTGGGTACCACACTATTAACACCGATGACAACCTCATCGATTTGGAGTTTTAAGTCATCGGTGT